TAAACTTAAACTTTGACAAATGTTGTTTCCTAATTATATGTTATTTTAATTATATTTAAATATACTACTGACATACACAGTTTGTGAAAGCACTTGCCAGTATATTCAACTATCACAACAGATTGCCTGGCACATCTTTGAAAAATGCCTCTGCTTTTCTTTAAAAAGCAATAGCATGGAATTTGCTAGTAGGAATAAAAAATAGCTACTACACTATCAAATTCAGGTAACTATACTGCACTTTATCGCCTGAAATTAAGAAACAATTTAAAATGCTATTCAGAATTGATAATGGTGGTAAGGAATCAAGCCAAAGAGATCAAATTTCTATTCAACGAATCCAAACGCTAAACAATTATGAATGTAAATTATAGTAGAAAAATAAGACATTAGGTAATAAAAGATTGTACTCTGAGGGAAAAATGATTTGCCATCTGTGTTAGGCAAAAGGGGAACTTACATCCCTTGTTGCATTCAAAAAATACAAAATCGACTTTACGAATCTTACTAAAAAATACAGAATATAATGCAATCGCACAGTGGGTTAAAAAGAGTTAGCTAAAAAACATTGATTCCTACCTGACTCATCTCAACTCACATATTCAAAAACAAAAGAACACAAAACAAACAAAGAACAACTTTGAAAGCTTTCCTAAAGTGCAGGTGTGAGAATGTTACCAGCTGGGGCTAAAACAGAATTCATAGTATTCTGGAACAACTACTATGACTCTGCCAGGCCCATTTGCTCAGGTTTGGTGAATAAAATCCTTCCGTTAAAAGCCTATACAAACACAACTATGAACCTCAAGAAGTCCATGGTCACTAAGTTATGCAATTCACCTGTCCAAACGAAACTTTTAAATTGGAGGACATCCCAACATTACACATCAATAATCTATATGGAAAATCTCAATGAAAGCTAGATCAAAATGTTTGTAATTGCAATTGTCCTATAAAAACTATTATAATGAAATGTAATATTTCTTTTTTTTTTTTTAATGAGATACCCTGTTCATTGAAGAAATATGACCTAGGAAAACTTTTGGCAAATATTTTATGTTATGAACTAGAAGTTCACAGTGATTACTTTATATAATAGTTTTAACCTATTATTCCTGATATGTCCTAGCTTACCTATTACCCATGAAGGCCTGATTGAGAGAGAAGTTCATCTAACATCAAACCACTTGAATAGTACCAAGAGGTAGACACTGGAAAACCACTGGACATAATCCTCCCTTTCTCAGGTCTCACAAATTTCCTACAGCTGTAACTTACTTATGACAGCATTATCATTTTTATATTATCATGTTAATGTGCATTTTGTGATGTAGTAATAACTTTGTATATTTTCTTCCAGCTTTCCTTCAACTTTCTTCCCCAAAATAAAAAAAAAAGTCAGCAAGACTGGTAAAATGTGGTTATGCCCATCCTGGCATCTTTGCAAGATTCTTAGAACACATGGGACTGAAACACTATCCCACTATGGGGGAAAATAAGAACAGCCTTGTTTTGATTCAAGGTGGATAGTTCCCGTGGCCTTGAGTCTTCAATGCCCATCTGCACAGCTTCCCTAAATTTGGACACTTCCCCAAATCTATAATATTTTTTTAAAACCTAAATTATATGTTCAAATATAAAAAGAAAAGTGTCTGACTTTCTTTTGGTCTAGATATACATCTATGAAAAAGTTTGTTCATACCTACGCAAAAAAGTGTGTTGATATATCCAGTCACCTAAATTATGCAGTGTCCATATTCTGGATGAGATTTATCCTTTCTTTTAGTCTAGAGTATATCTGAGAGAAATCTGAGTTGATCTGTAATTGTTATAAAGTTAATCTGATCTAATTAATGGCTATCAAAACATTTAATAGCAATTCAGTGGCAAAGTGGTGAATCCCCCCTCCCCTCAAAAACAGCATTCAGGCAGTTATAATACAAATTTAACATTATTAAAGAACAGGATTAGGAAAGAGTTGGAGATTCAGGAGGGAAATATGAAGTTAAGTGCATCAATTGGTTTTGATTTCTTTAACTTCACTACCAATCTTCAGTCAAGAAAAGAAAAATTAGCAGAGCTTGCTGTCCCTCACAATGTAGATGTACATACACTATATAAGCCTGGTCCCAGCAGTTTTTCAAACACTACTGGGTCCAGGTTGTTTCAGAGTCAAAAACAGAATTATAAATTACTTAAACCCAATGTTGGTTTTATTCTACTTGGTTGGTTCAATTAGAAAATGATGACTACAAAAACAGAAGAGCCAGACTTACACTGGTGAAGACACCATCCTGTTTTACAGGGATGAAAGTTCTCCTCTGTGTTCATCACACAATTGAGACAACATAATTACCCCCTGGAACAACAGGCAGCAACCCAAAGACTAGGCTCCATCTTACTGACCAAATTCATGACGCTATAACCGAATCTCATTTTCTTCATCATGTGTTGTTAGGGATTTCCAAATTCAATATATTACTTTTTTTTTTTTTTTTTTTTTTTTTTTTTTTTTTGCAGCATTCCTGGAGAGCTAATTATGAGAAATAATCCCCTTCCTTATTAGGCCAACTATTTTCTGGAAAGAAACATTTGGTAAGCGTGGTGAACTATAACTGCTGTTTCATTTCATAATAGTTAATTCTTATACATCCAAGTATTTCAATTCTAAATCCAAGCACTCATATGCCAGACAACCAAGGAGCCTGTCTAAATTTCCTAGTGGTTCATGTTAATTCGGAGTCAACGCAGAGAAGAGGAGAATGTCACACCATTGTTTTGAAAGAGTTTTCCAGGCTTTGCCTTAGTAATTAATAAGCTGACACTGCATACTAAACACTTATCAACACTAATCAATGGGGCTGCTTCTTTCTTCAGAAAACAGGTAAACCAATCCAAGGGGTTTTCTTTTGGAATAGACTGAAATATGCCACACATATAGTGGCTCTTCCGGAGAATTTTATTCCCAGCAGTTTCATCTTGGTAACACTTAACAATTTCACTATTTTAACATTTTGAAATGCCAAAAAGAACACATTGATCCAGCAGCTAGGCTTATTAGAGAAGAACAATCTCACAGGCGAGACGGGGAGGCTCGCAGTCCACTGGGAAAAGGGTAACAGAAAAAGACAGAAAACAGCGGATAACAAACAAAGCCCAGCACTACTCCAATGTGAGATCGCATTTTCACCAGAATGGAAAACTTCATACACCAATGTACATACTATCACCTATGGTTTATTGAAGGGACTAGGCATAACATTCTTTTTGTATGCACATCTACTGCTGCTGTCTGTTACAAGGGGGGTGGGGGGCATGAGATCTAATTTGTCTTCCTAATAAGGAGTATGCAAGGATAGTCATTTCATCTTTGAAAGGTCAGAACTGAACTGAGCACCCCCCCTCACCCCCCCCCCCCCCCCCCTGCCCTAGCATCATTGTACCCCTATGGAGACTTAGGAACACAATGAGACTTCTCCCTATCAGACACTTGATACATACCTTTGCCAAGACTGCTCCTTGCCTGGAGTGAGGACATCTTTGGAATAAAAAGAGTCCTTTTACAGTAAGTTCTTTTGATAACCTAAAATGGATTAGTTTTTTTAAAACCATGTCCATCCTCAAGCCTCCTGCCCAACTATGGTAACTGCTGTTGTGCCTACGAATAACTGCCTACACTATGCAACGTTTGAAATTCTGGAGGTGCCTCGATACTGTTCACGTATGGATATAATCAGAAAATAATTTGTCTCACTTAAGAAACTATACGTGGCTTTTTATTTTGATAAAATTGCTATAACTGAGTTAGGAGAGTGGGGGATGGGGATCAAGAGAAATCAATCAGTCTATCTTCCTGGTAAACTGTCAGCAGGGTGGGATTAGAAAAGCAACACTTTAAATCAGATAAAGTCCTATGGGAACCTTAAAGGTTGGTTGCTCCGAGCTTCTCAATATTCTGCAAAATAGATTGATGGCAGTGGGCATCCCACTGATGTTCAATGTCCACTCCATTTCTGCTAAGAAATTACATTTCCCCCATTGTTCAAAATATATTATCTTGGTAATAAAAATGAGAAGTTATGAGACCCACAGAAATATCTTTTAACATCTTTAAGCCAGTATATCTAGTCTAATCTTTTATTGTTTTAAATGCCAGAGTATGCTTAATGTATCAAGAAAACAACAACAAAGGCAAGAATAACACTTTTTTTTTTTTTTAGAAAAAAGAGATGAGAGACAAAATGATTAATAGGTGACTAATTTTTTTCTCATCTGTTCAATTTAAAACTAAAATTAGATATATGCATGTTGCTTCTAAACTTTCAAATGACCAAATGACAGTTTCTCATGTCTATCACAGCAAACACATTTGCTTCAGGAGGTGATCCTTTTATGGTTCTGAGCCTTAGCAAGACATGTCTTTTAAAAGCACATCAACTTTTTTCAGCTAATGGCCACTTCTGAGTTAAATGGTTCCATCAGCATTCAAATTTAGATATTAGTTACATGCCCATTTATTTTCCCTCAAAGAAGAGTGGCTCCTGCAGCTACACATTTTCCTGTATAAAAAGTTCATTATTTGACATACATTTCTTTACATGACATCTAATAATTTACTTTAGACGGTTTCTGGGTTTGATGCTGAGATGGATGTATTTCTCTGGGAAGACTTAGTTGCTGATACGGTTTATAGCCATTAAGCACCAACTCAAGCGCCTGTTTTTCAAACATGCACAATTACACATTTTCCACAAACAGACATCAGTGCACACAGAGAGCCAGGTGCACACACATTCAGGAACTCGTAAATGGTAGAAACCTCCAGAAGTAGCACGGACCACAGGTAACAGGCGGGGGCTACACGGCGAAGTAAACACGAACGCACGATTCGCTCACGCGGAATAAGAACTCTAGGATGGACCTTGGGGACCACACAGGTCAGTCCCCAGGGGGAGGGAAGAGGGAAAAGTATTTCCAAATGAAAGTCTGCCAGGTCTTACCCTTCGCATCCCCTGGTCCTCGGATGGGCAGCTCCCTGGGCACCTCTCGCCCAGCGCAGGGACTGCTTCTCCGCTAGAACGGAACGTCCCCCCACGGAGGGCTCTGCAGGGAGCGGAGGCGCCCCGCCCGGGCCAGGGGGCGGCACTGGCGCCGCGGGAGCCTAGAGGAGGCGGAGGCGGAAAAGAAGTGCAGAAGGATGGGGTGGCCGCGGGAGTAGCGGGAGGGAGGCGGCGCCGGCGCTGGGATGCCAAGGGGTGGGGTGGAGCGGGACGTGCCTCAGTCCGTCGGTCAGTAAGTCAGTCGGTCCGCGCTACCCGCGCGCTGGTGTCCCCAGCCTGCAGCGCCCGCAAGTGACAAGGATCGGGACTGGAGCCCCCTCCGCCCGCGAGCCTTGCCCCTTCCCCGGGCGCTGCACGGGTCCTCCCGCTCGCCCAGCCTGGCGCGGCGTGGGGCCGCCCGTCTCCGCCGGTCCGGGTGCGCGGCGCCTCCCCAGCTCGCGCGGTCCCTGCCTCTCCCTCCGCTCGCGCGCTGTCTCTGGCTCCCTCGCGATCCAGTCCCATTTATGAGGCGCGGTCCCATCACGTGTTAATGAGCCTTTGTCCTGCCCCGGCAGCGACGGCGGCACGGACCCCGCCGAGGGAACTGCGCGGGGAGGGACCGGCGCGGCGCGGCGCCAGCGGCTCCAAACTTTGCTGCCGCGGGGGACTCTCCTGGGAGCCCGCCCCGGGGCCAGAGAGTACGAGCCCCTCTGACCCGAGTCACCTGCTTCTCTTCCTCCTCTTCCTCCTCCTCCGCCGCGGTCCCAGGGGCCCCCACTTCCATGACCTGGCTCTGCTCCCAGATACCCTCACATCCCGGCCGAGCTGGGGAGAGGCTGGTGCCCGCGCCGCCCCCCGACCTTGGGGCCATCCATCACGCAGCCCTGGCTGTGCGCAACACCAGCACCTTGCGCGGGGGTCACGTCTGGGGCGGCTGGATGAGCCGGAAGGGAAAGGGGAGCGAGAAGGGAGAGGCCGAGGGCGCCCCGGACCCGGGGGGGCTGCTTGGAGCCCCCGACCAACTGCGCCAGGTCGCCCCCGCCGCGGGCAGCGCCAGCCGGGCCCCGTGCAAGCGAAACCTGGGGACCGGGCCGCGCAGCTCCCGAGCCGCTCGCTACCTGGCGGCGGCCGCGGAACCACCTGTCCTCCGCCCTCGGGGCACCGCCAGGCTGAGCCCGGGCGCCCTACAGCCGCCGTCCCCGCCCGGCGGGTGACTCGGGCGCGCCCCATCCGCCCGGCCCGGGTGGCAAACAGTTGGGCTCCGTAGGCGGCTGGCTCCGAGCCTCCCTGCAGGGCACGGCCCTCCCCAGCCACCTCGGGGCCCCGCTCCTCGCACCTTCTCTCGGGAGGAGGACAGCCCTTTCCAGAGCCCGGAGGGAGCCGCCGCAGGCGCCGGGGCATCCACGGTGCGGCCGCGGCAGGAACTAGGGGACATGCTCGTTAATTGGTTCCACTATCAGCCACCGTCTGCCTCCCGTGTGCTCGGATCAGACCTTAATTGGTCTTTCCATTTATCACGGTGAATCGCGAACCCACAAACAAGCCCCGGCCGCCGTTTCAGCAGAGAAGGCTCCTCCCTCCCTCCCCCTCGGCCTGGGCATGGTTGTGGCGGCGATGGTCCTGGTCGTTTAGACATCTTTCTCTCTCACGAGTGGGGTCGGGGGAGAGCTGCAGGCTTTCCACCTGATGGAGCCACGTCACTCTGGCCCCTAGAGCCCTGCGGAAGGCACTTGGTTCGGTTCCCAAATCTCCGCTCCGTGGCCGCCTCGGCGTTCATTTTGTTCATTTTATGACACCTCGCCAGGGATCTAGCACATTCTGCCCCAGTCCTCATCGGACACATCCATCTCGTTCCCACCTCCACCCTCCTCTGGCCCAAGCGCAGAGCCCAACAGCCCTTGTAACAGACCTGATCCCCATCTTTGAACTACGTGCTGAGAATCCAAAAAAGCAAACCTCTTAAGGAAGAGAGGAAATTGGTGGGGAGGAAGCCCAAGGCGGGTGGGTACGGAGCGAGGTGGGAAGGTTGTAAGTGCTTTCGGAACATCTGGCCCAGTCTAGAAAGGCTTCCTGCAGAGTGCCTTTGACACCCTCCCCTCCCCCGCTAGACTGCTTTAGGTTAGAAAAAAGTAGTTCCTATTTTCCTCATCAGGGAAATGGTCACAACTGAGATGATCAATTTCTACTAGGTAGGCAGATGGAATAGGCTGCAAACTAAGAGCTGATGGACCCATTAATAGATGGAGGAATGATTGATAGGAGGGTAGAGGTGGGATGAGCACTGGCCATCAAACCTGGGGCCTCCGCCTGGGGCAGATTCAGCCGACCTCCACTCTGGAGATTTATAAGGGGGTAGGTGCGGGCGGGGGGGGGGGGGGAGGCTTCAGCATCTGTTGCCTTTTTTTCCTTTTAGGGTCATGGTTGTTAGATTTTACCTTCACCTCAGCCTTGGCAGGAGAAATATTCACAAAGTTTTGCCCTCCTCGTGACTTTCCAGTATTTTCCAATCTGGTGACTTGACAAATAACTTCAAAGTCTTGGGACTTGCTAGCAGGGCAATTTCAGATGGTTGCCGGTAACTGAAAGATAGGATCTGGGCAGCTCTTCTGGCTGTGATGGGGACGTCTTTCAGGCAGTAGGTTACGCTGGAAAGCTGAGCTCCGGGAAGGAAGGCTTTCAGGCAGCAGGGTTTCCCATGGGGGCTGTCCCTCTGCCCTGTCGCCGGGTGACCTGTGCTCTTGGGGTGGCCAAGGTGTTTAGCGCCCTTTAGAGGCACAGCACTGACACATTGTGGGGGTGCCCCTTATAGTGCATTCTCCCACTCATCCGCCTACCCCTAGGTGGTCAACATCAAATCTAGAGGTGGGAACCATTTACAACCTCTGGAAATACTTGGAAATCTCCCATCTCAACTCAGCCGCACCAACTTGTACTTTTTCATGAAGAGGAGCAATCTGATTACCTTAAGTGCCTCTAAGTCACCCCAAATCTCTTTTGATGGGCGGTGGATTTCTTCACTGAATCCTATGAAATTACAAGCAGAAGCCTAGGATCCAAATCGTTTGAAATCTATTTGTTCAGCGACTGGCCGAAGTGACCCGTGGACAGAGCCAGTCATTCAGAATCTAATCAAGTAGTGACTATAGCCGCTATCGTTGTTTAGCCTGTTATTCTGTTGTTGCTCCGGGTTGGGGTAAGGCTGGAGCCCGACAGCTCATGAATTGTTCTGCCTTTCCATTTAGAGCTCAAGGATAATGCTCAGTAATGGAGTCAAAATTTGGCATGTGACCTGGCATTTTATTACCCAAGTGAATGCTTTGTGGAAACAGAGAGAGTTATGATATTGTGTGGAAAATGCTCTTCTTGTGGACATGTTTGTAGGTCTTTAAAATTTAAAGTCTGTCCTGGGCTCATCAGCGTGTTAGACTCCCAGTCAAAGAGCTGCTACACTATTTTATCAGAGGTGGAAGAGGGGCAGTGAAAGCGGGCTGTCCTTTAGTGCCCCAGAGATTACATTTTGTAAGGATCCCCTTCACATGGCAGGGAGTGATTTAGTCTCCACCTGTGGTTGGCCTGCCACTGTACTCCCTGAGAGAGTCAGCAAGAATGACAAATGCAAGCTGTCAACATCCCTATTGGGAACATTATGCTGAAGGCACATGTACATTTAACACAAGACATTACATGGTCCTTAGACCACAAACCTAGGTTGAATTTGAACTCATGACCTTCTGAGGAAAGAGTGTGGCAGCCCCTTACTGGACTTGACTAGTTCCTGCACTGCTATATGTGAGGCTGTGTGGTTTTTGTTTGTTTGTTTGTTTGTTTTTGGTTCTTTATCCTTTTAGAGCAGGTCTGTCTATGTTGAGCCAGTTTGCTGCTGTTTCTGGGTAATTTAGGTTATTCACTCAGTGAAATGTACAATGAAGAGCACAAGGAAGGCTGCATATTTCAACTTCAAAGCAAGATCTCTGTTCCCCGCCTTCGCGTTGACGGTTACACTGGACTTAGACGTGGGGGAAGCAGGTCCTGCCTCCCTGAGAGAGCTGCTGATCCCAAAGGAGCTGTGCTTTAAGCTTCCTTTTTCTACTTGTTATAGCTGGTGAACCAAAACTTCACTCTGAGAGTTTGGGGAGTTCTTTCTGAGTTTGGCTCTCATGGTCTGTTTGTTTGTTTTTGGTATTTTAGGTGTGCTGCTCACACCACAGGGCTGGAACCCTCACTGATTAAAGACATTTTCAGAATGATATTATAACTGCACGATTTCATTCTGATTCGGAGCATTGCTTTAGCATGCTGACAGCTATTATCAACTCTCCATTGAAGCATTCAAGCATTTTGTTTTCCAGTGGCTCTGTATTGCTAGATGGGAACTTGCTTCTTCATTGCCAGCCTAAAGGGTAAGTGTCAGCAAGCCTACCAACCAGGCTGGGGCTCTGTCATCCTGAGCATTAGGTCAGAAATGCTTGCTCCTGAGATGCTCTACCAGTGATGCAAGCAGCCTAAAGAACCGTCTGCATATGTCTCAAGAGCTATAAGCTAGTGACGGGAAATGACATTGTTTTTCCCTCCACAGTCAGAAATAAAACTTCCCGAGATTTGTTCCAGGTGGAGAAGCTAGTTGCTAGGGTAGGGACAGAATGGGTGAGGGAGGAAGGACACGATGGGCTTCTTTGACCTAAGGGGACCCTGTGTTATGTTAGGCACAAAGAAAATCACAGCCGCTTCTCAGTCATCTTTCCATAACTAAACACATGCTCATTAGGACGCTTTTTTCACCTTCTCACCTTCTTTCATTAAACCCCACTCTTTAACGTCCCAGCTGAGCAGCAGCAAGGAAGGCTGAGAAATGACAGGAAGGCATTTTTCCTTTGTTCCTATGTTTTGTTTTGTTTCTCATCACCAAGCAGAGGATTGGTAATGAGGAGATGGATCATCCTTTCATTTCAAACCATATGAGGAGCATGTTCTCGCAGATAATAAACAAATACACAGTGCAAAGAAGGAGAGTGAGAAAACAGGTTAATAAAGCTTTTGTTCCCTCTTGACTGGACTCTTGCAAAATGGTCATCAAAAGCCTATAGTTTAAAGAGGCTGCGAAATTTTATGTCTAAATATTTCATTTTTAAAGAAAGTTGGGCAAGCCGCATTGGTATTACGATGTGAAAATATGGCAAATCATCGGAAAATAGCACTCACAGAGCATTTCGTAAATAGTCAGTTGGCTCTCTTCCTAGTGTACTTCATAGTTTTTTCAACTGCAGGTAGGAACTTAGAAAAGAAATAACAGCCTATCGTGGGTTATGAGGACGAAGTAAAATAATAAACACAAAACTCCCAGCCTGGTGCCTAGTACTTGGTCTCTCAGTAAATGATTGCTGTGTTTATTTCTGCCGCCACCACCGCTATACTGTGACTGCATTTGTATTACATGTCTCGAAAGGACCACAGTATGGCTCGAGGCTTTTTAATTCTCAAACCAGAGGGTGGGCAGCTGATTCATAAATAAAGTGCTCACATTTTGAGGGTTTCTTGGGGCTCAGCTGTGACTTCTTTGCTGTCGCTCCCATTCCAAACAGATGCCGTCGATTATCTGCTTTCGCAGTGGCCCGATGTCCTGATACCTTGAGAAGTCCCCATTATCTACTCCCTGCAATTCACTAGCTTTTCCCTGAAATGCAGCTGCCAGTTAAAAAAAAATGAAACTGGCAAA